CAAGATGGTTGCTTGAGAATGAGCATAGCATCAACTGTGTCAATTGAGAATACTTGGCGAGATGTTTCTGTTGAATGCAGGATGATGATGCATCGTAATTTTTAAAAACATTGATTCCATTCACGTACATCTTGTAATAATAGATAGACTGGATATTCTCAACTCTAAAAGTTGTATTTTGTTCTCTGCCTCTGAATTTTTTATTGTAAAAATAGAAAGCAAAAGTAGTATACATAGACTACTGGTTTATCGTTTGAAATAACGGACGTGTAACGACTAAATATATAACATTGTGTCATAATCAAAAATAATTTGGCTAAGTTATACGAAAAAATGTACATAGACGAAAACATTCTATCTAACCGGACCTGAGGAAACAAGGTGTTAATACTGTACTAAACACTTCTTCTCTTAGAAAAGAAAATGTTCTGTCCACGTCCATACAGGAAACTGATAATTTAGAACGAATTGAACAAAAAAAGAAATGAAACGGGAAACTGTTCATAAATTAAACTTACAGCAACATTTTCATAAACTCTTGTACACAAAACAAAAACAGTTTTGAGTATACACACTGAATGTCAAATACAATTCATTGTTATTTTTGAGCAGTTAAAAACTAGATATATGATGATATCATCACATAGTATGAGAAAAAAAAGAGATTAAAAATAGAAATAGCATTTGATTAAAAAAAGACATGCCCACGTTTATAAAACGAGATCTTGACAACACTGACACTATTTTATTGAGGTTAGTGTAAGCTTTTTCCAATATCAGAAATTGGCTAGTAGAGAAGTTTGTTATAAAATGCAAAAAAAGAAAGATGAAAGACTGGGTATACATGGAATCATATTTCATTTTCACAATGTCTTGTATATTGGTCGTTTTGACGTTTGTTGATCATCATTATTGTCTAACAGCAACGTGGTACACATACCACCATTGTTATCTTCATTCAACGTTGTCATTTGATTTTTAGTCGTTAAATCTCCTAACGATTTTGATGTTGTATGTTGAAATCGTTTAAATACTGTTCGAATTAGAAATTCATTAAAACTTTCAGCCGATGTCATATTCCAATTGTTTACTTGATGTTTTCGAAATTGTTTTAAATACTCATTTTTCACCAATGTATACAAGAGAAGCCAACGAAATCGTATAAAACGTTGTCTCGTATATATATTCAATTCTTCACGACTATTTGCTTCTTTTTTATAATAATTAAGTAGAAATTGTCGTTCTTCTAAACGTTCTCGAATATAGGAACAAAAGATAATAAGAACAGGATGAGAATGTAGACATTCCATGTGAATAAACGATGCATATGAAATAAAACCTTGATCTAATTTTTCTAAACTTCGACCAAATATACAATAATCAAGACGAGGTAAATATATTAGAGCGGCTATTGATGCTTTTGTAACACGTAGAGCACACGATACCATACCCAAGAAACAATCGAAAAAGAAATTAAAATAAGCAAATACATAATAATAACGTAAATTTTTTAATGCAATCATTTTACCACTAAAAGTAGAGAAAAAAAAAAACAAACATTAACAAAAATGAATTAATAATTTCAAATATTAAAATGAAAATATAATATTTTGATTAAATAAAATTTATAATAGTTAAAAAGAAAAGAAAATGAATACTTACTTATGCTGTAAAAATAATGTTCTACTAAGAATCCACATGAGAATATATTTACATAAATAAATGACTAATATGGGTATAATAATTTTACTAATTTCTTCAATAAGAAATAAATGTTTAAATAATATTCTTAGAATAATAACAGTTAAAAAGAGAATATTGCCCATTATCAAATAGCCAAATGCTAAATAAGCTATTGTATAGCCTGGATAATGAGCATTTTTAGATATTAATTGAATATTATTAAAAACATGTCGAGAAGGAATATCAATGAATATTCCTAAAAATAAAATAAAACATAAAACTAACGAGTGGGTCATAAAGAATGGCGTCTCAGTACTTCGCTAATATTTCGCTCAGTTTTCATTATCAAGGCTTTAACTTGTTTTAAAAGATTCGTCATTTCATTCTCTACAAAAAACATATTGAACATTTTTTAATATACCGCAGAAATAAAGGAAGATAGGTCAGATACTGCAAAGCTTCAATATCCATTACTTTCTAACCCAAAAAATAGTTTTTCCATTCTAGTTCTTTGCCACACATAACAAGAGAAGATGACCGTTTTGTAGTCCTTAAAAAGCTCTATCAATTGGCTATGTTTAAAACTCTTCATAATCGCAATTCGTTGCGGGAGAAATTTTTTCTTATATCGATTTTTATCAAAAATCACCGTTTTCAAACTGCAGTTTTCGTGGCATTTGAGAAAATTTTTATCAATCAGCCAAAATCCAATATTTTGTGATCCATTATTTCTTATCTTAAAGCAGATTAATTCTTCTGTTACATCCAAACAGACGAAGTTCGATAGCTCCATTTCATTTTCACTGACAAAGCGAAAAGGTAGAAATGTTCCTTTTTTTTTAGTAGACTGTAGTAAAATTGCATTTTATATCAGTGAAATACGTTCAAAGACAACCGCTGATACATGACAAGGACGACGATAATTCGAGGCACTATCACATATGTTTGGATTCTAGTTTGTTGCATAGTTTCATGTTCAAAATAAATATCTTTTCATTGTGTTTTGTGTTAGAAAGTAATGGATATTGAAGCTTCGCAGTATTTTTACTTATCTTCCTTTATTTCTACGGTATATCAAAAAAAATGTTCAATATGTTTTTTGTAGAGAATGAAATGACGAATCTTTTAAAAAAAAAGTTGAAGTCTTGACAATGACCGCCATTCTTTATGGCCCATCCGTTATATTTAACTTTCTTGCTACATCTCTAACATTCATTTTATTATATACCTTTATATGCATTCAACATATTTTGTTGATAATGTTTCATTCCAATAAATAATTGTACATAATAAATCATCATTGTTAGAAAACAAGCGAGAAGAATTTCATATTTTAAATTAAATGGTCGTGATTTTGGTAAATCAAGTTCATCAAATGTAAGAATAATTGGTATAATTAATAGTCGATAACATTTTTCAATTAGATAAAATCCACCTTGTAAAATATTAAATGTTAAATAATATGTAATCATAAAAGCAATAATATACATATTTAATATTTGTTTTGAATAACGAAAATATTTATTTGGACGATAAATTTTATAGAGAATATTTTTAATAAATGATACTTTTTTAATTTTTTGTAATTTTCTACGAGTTTTACAAAATAAATGTTGAACATATTGATATTCAATTGATAAATGATGAGATTGAGATAATTGTCCATTTGGTTCATGATAAATATGTTTTTTTGATTTTTTACTTGTTGATAATATTGATGGAAAACATTTTTGTATACATTTTAATAATTCACGAAAAAATAAATAAGTTAAACGAAAACAAATATATGTTAAACATAAATAGTATGGAAAATATTTTAGAGTACCAATAACAATTGAATCTAAACCAAATTGATCAAATGTTGATGTTGACTCATTACGATTCATAGGGAACGAGAGATTATGTAATATTTGAGACCAGTTATACTCGTTGGATGATGATGATGAAGAATCAGGTAAAAATGGAAACTAAAGACAAAAAAAAGGATAAAATATTATTAAAAGATGTTTAGTAGAATTTTTATTTTTTACTTTAGGTGTTGTTGTATGATGTTTAATATAAAAATCATCTTCTAGAAATGAATTTTGAAGAAATTTTTCTGGTTCTTTTTGTTTAATATTATTCCATTGATATTTTTGTGTTAAATTATGTGTTGATTGTTGAAATGTATTCCATTTTTCAAGTACAGATCCCAAATTTGTACATAATGCTTGTTCAGATATTTTTGCTATAAAATCAATCCACATATAGATAGAACATAAAGCATAATAAAGTATATTTGATTGATTCATTTCAAGAATTGAATAAATTGGATAATATCTCATACCGATAATAATAACGAGACCAATTTGTCGAATTAAATCAAATAATGGTCCACTCATTGCTAAAAATTTTATGTGAGTTGTATTTAAAAATAATTCTTCTATAATATGAAGTATTTCATGTGACATAATTCCACATAATACAACAGTATCAAAACGATTAATTTTACTAAAATGAATAAAAATAAGAATAAAATTAAATGAATAAAATCGACTATTTTATTATTTAAAAACGTTTAACATACCTGAATGGATTATAGGGTATGGGTACTTGTGAATGAAATAAACCTTTTTGAAATGTAATTAAAATAATGAGAACAAATGAAATGGGTAATGTAACAAGATTAATGTAATAATTATTTTCATATGATGAACAAAATTTAAATAATGTTGAATGAGATGAATACAGTGAATTATAAACATGTGATTTAATATAACGACGTACAAGAATAATGAATATACAACACATTGCTGTCAATACTAATGGTAAACAAATAAATATTAATTTTTTTGGTTTAATAAATAAATTTTTAAAACAAGATTTAATTTCTAGTTCTTGAATGGAACGACGAAATGAATAATAACGTTGTTTCCGTTCAAAAGAATGATTTCTTAGTGGTACTGAAGGAGATAATTCATCAGTTGTTATCTTTACAGTTATATCAGCCGATTGTTGATTTAATATTGGATTATAGATTTCATGATCAACAGTCGAATTTAAAAGATATGATTGATGTTTTATTGATTTTGATATTTGATGAGTATACAATGGTGTACTATAGAGAATAAAAATGTTAATTATAACATATTATTGTAGAAAAAAGTCGAAAAACTTACGTTTGATATTGTTCTAAGTCAGTACATTGAAATGACCAGGAATTTGAATTGGAACGATCCATATTAATTATATAAGATGCGATAAATGCAATTAAAATAATAGCACTACCAATAAGAGCTTGTAAACCTTGACTACTCCCTGAAATAAGCAATAATAAAAAAAGAAATTTTATTAACTTTTATTTTAACTATTGAAAAAAGACTAAGCCATAACCGGAGAAGACGAAGCGTACTAACTATCCATCACCAAAACAATATCTATTTTTATAACCTGTCTATTTTAAACTGCTAATGATGGAATATCTAAAATTTTAAATAAGAGGAAGAAGTAATGGATGTATCTCAGATAAATTTTCTTGAAATATTGATTTATTCTTTTTAGAAAAACTAGAATTATGTATAATACATACATTTTTCACATTTATTTCCTGAATATAAAAATCTACATTGACATTTGTGTGAATCTAATAGTGGTACATTTAAACATGTTCCATATTTTCCACACGCACTATTATTGTAACAACGATCGATAGCTAAAAATAAGAAAATGAATAAGACTGATACAGATGACATATCATCACTTTTCAATTTACTATATTTGCATATGTATGGCAATGATATCACTGGTCCATCACATAATGAATTAGATAAATCTGTTTTATTTCTCATTATTCTTATTATTCCACAATCACTATCCGCTGGACCATTTGAATTTTCATTCCAATATCTGTACACTGGTGTATCCCATAAAAGATTGTTTCCATTTGATCCCCAACCGTAAGTTGCGGGTAATGTTCCATTTATTTTTCGTAAGTTAATAAATACATACATCGTAGTGTATGGTTCCAAACTTTTTCGTATTAGTTGTTCAACAAATTTATATTCATCAATTGTTTCGATAATTAATAATTTAGAATTACCAATTACAAGTTTTGAATTAAATGCTGCACAAGTTTTAACAGCTGTATCCCATGATGATACACGAAGATTACTTATATATAAATAACATGAACCTTGATAAAATGTTGATCCAGGTAGACATTCTAAATACAAAAAAAGTAGAAAACAATTATTTATTTGTTCACGTTATGTGTTATGGCTGTTTCAGTAGACATACGTTTGCCTTCTTTAACTTGTTGTCTAAGTAGATTAAAAAATTCAAATACATCATCACCACGTTGTGATACTAAAAATAGATCATTTAATATTAAATGAATGGTTGTATGTTTAGAAAATCGAAATTTTATTTCATACCTGAAAATGAATGTATATTATGTAAGATAGATGTACCAACAATAGTGACAATGATAAATTGTATTGAATTCATGATCAAATCGATACTTGTCAGAATAATAATAACAGTGAAAATAATAAGACAGACGAATGAGGAGAAAAATAATCGAAAAGATGAAAATGATTCGTGTACATTTGAATCGAACAAGATCAAATAATGAACGTCTTTATCTAAAACAGAGCATAGATATCCGACGTGTTGAACATCAAGTGTGGATGATTAATGAAGAGTTAAAAGAGAGGTGGAGAGAATAAATGTCAAGTAACAATTTGTTCTTCTACATTATGGATGAATTCATATTATCTTAAGAATAATATTACACTCTTTCTCTTCACAAACAATTCGAGATGTTTCGACATATTCGAACAGTTTGCACCAAATAGAAGAGCATGAATTTCCTATTCAACAATTGATCTGTTGAGATGCTAAACTTGTGATACAAGATGGTTGCTTGAGAATGAGCATAGCATCAACTGTGTCAATTGAGAATACTTGGCGAGATGTTTCTGTTGAATGCAGGATGATGATGCATCGTAATTTTTAAAAACATTGATTCCATTCACGTATATCTTGTAATAATAGATAGACTGGATATTGCCATAATAATAATATCTAACATTGTCTCATAACCTAAAGTACTCTATCGATGATGCCAACATCTTTACCTCATAGGATTTTTGCATTTGCATTAGGAAATCATGCTAAGAGGGAAAATCTTCAAAAAAGTTTGATCTGTGACTTGATTGAAAAATAGTATTCTCATTGAAAAATGGTTGAAGACATATGGAATTCAGTCACTCGTAAAAGATAAAAACTTAGAGACACACTAGAAGAATTATTATTTTCGTTGATAAATTCTTTCAAGTATTCTTCTAATAATTATATAGACTCTATTGGATTAATGTGACACGTGTGTGAAAAATGACAATCGCAACTTACTTGGATCACAGATCGGCGACGACTCTTCTTCAAAACATCACAATTCTATTCAATTAAATCCGAGTTTTACGAAGAAAGTATTTCGACAACGATGATCGTGATACTTTATTTTATACAACAATGACAATAATCTATTTTCGTTTTATAATAATGGAAGATTTTATTTGAAATTGGATATTTCTTTCATCACTCTATTGTCTTTATATGACGTTATAGATTCTTCTTCTTCATCTCTCTCTTTTACTTTTATTGATTTAATCACGTACTTCTAAATAGATTTTGAATAGTTTCTAATACTGAAATTGATCATGCAATAGATTCCATCGCATAAACAAATTGCCTATACACACTCTAGCTCTTTGTCTCTCAAAATTTAAATTTATCTCGGATTCATTTTTAAAATTGTTCCTTTTCTCTCTTTTTAAGATCCTTAAGCAAGTCATCTATACCTGATTTCGCTAACAAAAGATATAATTTGCCTACATTTAGTCGAAAGAGTTAGTTAAAGTTAACAAAAACAGAACTTCGACTAAGATGAGACATACGAGATACGAAAACAATAGAAGAAAGGGCCCTACCGGATAAAACCCGAAATCTACCACTTCGTAACTGTCCACTTTTATCGTATGGTTGGAACGCCTTATTCCAGCGCACAAGAATCTGTCATTAGATTTCCTT